TTATTAAAATAAGCGGACCGTCTCCCTGCCCAAGTTTTATTTCACAGCTTTCTACACAGGAAGTGTAGTTAGCTTGTCACTAGCTAGCTGAGTCGCTCAGTTGTGTCCCACTTTGTGACTCCATGGACTGTAAGCCCACCAGGCTCCTCTGTCCACGGAATTCTCCAGGCAAGAACACTGGAGTGGGTAGCCATTCCCTTCTCCATGCGATCTTCCCGACCCAGGGATCAAACCCAGGTCTCTGGCTTTGCAAGCAGATTCTTTACTGTTTGAGCCAGAAGGGAAGTCCCTAAAGGAAATCAACCCTGAATATTCTTTGGAAGGACTGATGCTAAACTCCAATACTTTGGCCACCTGGTGCAACTCGTTACCAGTGACCCTGAAGCTGGGAAAGATTGAGGGCAGGAGGAGAAGGGGACAACAGAGAATGAGGTGGTTGGATAGCATCACCAACTCAGTGGACATGAGTTTGAGCAAGCTCCAGGAGATAGCTAAGGACAGGGAAGCCTGGCGAACCGCAGTCCATGGGGTTGCGAAGAGTCAAACACGGCTTAGTGACTGAACAACAACAAACTAGCTGAGTGAAACTGGGTAACTAACATCCTTCCCCTGGGCCTCAGTTTCCCCATCTGTAAGAAGAAAGAGTTGAAAGGGAGGAATGCTGAAGTTCCTTCTAACTCTGAGATGCCTTGACTCTGTGATTCCATAATGAGCTCAAAAGCATGTACATATGCAGATCACAGCTATGTACCTGCCAGGGCTTTTTTTCCTTCTCTGCTGTTGGCTGTTGCAATTTTAGATAAGTGCCCAATGCCTCTTTATTCTCAAATAAAAAAAACATTGTGAAGATTAAGCCATGGCCTGTCTCATAATAATCTGGGCATCCAATTCCAGCTTTCTGATGAAGCCACCACTGTTATAAGAAAATTGGAAAGTTTAATATTTGTGAAAACAAATAACTCCCCCTCCCCCTATCTTGAAGGAAGCTGAATGTTTTTGGTGACTTAGTATCTCTCTTCTCAGTTTCTTGATGAACAGAGATTTATTTGGAAACATCTCAGATTTCTAGAAATGTGCTGTGGGTACAGCCCTCATCTGGGTCTAGTCTCTCTCTTTAGGGTCAGAATCTGTGATCTCCATTAACATTTTGAGCCCCCAAGGTCAAAGTTTAAAAAGAACTCACATAGCTCAGATTAGTAGTTACAAAATTAACCTGAGCCATTTTGATGGACTGCTTGGGCAAAATGAAGACTAAATGATGGTGATGAGGATGATCAAACACATTTTGTGCTGACTGTGAGCCGGGCAGGTCCTACACACTTGACTTGCATTAATTCATCTTCTTCACAGCCCATGAGACAAGTGCTATTGTCATTGTCAATTTTAGAGGACCAGAGAGGTTAAATGGGTATATCTTTCCTTTTCTCCTTTGCTTTTCACTTCTCTTCTTTTCACAGCTATTTGTTTGGCCTCCTCAGACAGCCATTTTAGTCTTTGGCATTTCTTTATCTTGGGGATGGTCTTGATTCCTGTCTCCTGTACAATGTCATGACCCTCCATCCATAGTTCATCAGGCAGTCTGTCTATCAGATCTAGTCCCTTAAATCTATTTCTCACTTCCACTGTATAATCATAAGGGATTTGATTTAGGTCATACCTGGTTAGTGGTTTTCCCTACTTTCTTCAATTTAAGTCTGAATTTGGCAATAAAGAGTTCATGATCTGAGCCACAGTCAGTTCCTGGTTTTGTTTTTGCTGACTGTATAGAGCTCCTCCATCTTTGGCTGCAAAGAATATGATCA